CGACCTCCGGCTGCCGCGGCCACCAGCCGCGCTGTCTAGGTAGGCCACAGCCCCCGAGTGACACGCTTTGCGGAAAGCTGCCCTTCCGGGCCCACGTCCTGCTAAGTCCCCTGACCTCATCCTGCGTGGAAAAGTGTCGCGCTGGGGAGCGTTTGGGAAACAGCACCTGCGATGTGTGCCTTTCTCGAGGAACGAGGGAAAGACAGCCCCCCACATCCCTGTCAGCTGTTGAAAAGGACAGTGACAGGCAGGGGAGCCAGGCCTGGAGGCGAAGCGCAAGGCGTCCTGTCCTGTGCGGCTGAGCGCGGAGCGCGCTGCGTTCCGTGTACTTCACACTCCCAAGACTCAAAACTTCATCTGGTTCCATTTGTAATAATCGCTCAGGAAGCGTGTCTTTCACCACATAAGTGTTCCGATATTAGCTCGGCTTAGGATAAATCCACTAAGAAGCTGGCTTTTATGTTGCGAAAAATGGTTCTTAGAAAGTATTTCATATATTGAATGAGTATGCGTAGGGTCGGGAAACGGTGGGTTGAATGTTCCTTGAATATGGTTCAATAGCTTGGCTCATAAAATACGTGGAAGAACAACCGGAATCTGCCCAACGCCAGCGGGGCGTGGTCAGGCGTGGAGCGGATGGTGACACGATGTGTTTTTTAAACAGCGGAGCTGCCGCCCCCTTGTCTCTGTGTGGCCGTGGGCTTCCCGCACTCACCCCTCCCGGAGCCCCTCCTGCGGTCCACCCATGCAGGCTCGTCTCCCGCTCAGCTTGTCTTCCTAGACTTGAACGTCCCTGGCTCTGCCACCTCCAGCACCTTCGGCGTGTCCTCCAGCGTCAGCGAGACACGAGCCTTCACCATACTCCGCACTGGTCCCTGATTTTCTCTGCCACACAATCGAGCACTTAAAAACTCAGTTAGACAATGACTTACCGTTCGTGAATCGCTTGCAGAAACATGTCAGGTCTCCACGTGGGTTTCAGGGGTGCTGGGAAGAATGCAAGCGAAAAGAAACATTTGGTGCCTCCATTTTTATCACGGTGAGAGGAACATAGGTAAAAATAACCATCGGATATTGATAACGTAAGGGGGCCGGTGTGAAGGCTTGCATAGATCGACTCATTTTAACTCTCGTCACATTGTTCCCGTTTTAAAGATGGAGAAAAGGCACAGAGAAGCTAAGCAACTTCCCTAAGGTCACACAGCTCGGAGGGTTAACGCCAGGCAGTTGGTCCTAACGCATCAGTGTTTCGGTCTCAATCTCTGTGGCTACGGCCTCTCGGAGGGGTGGCGGGGACGGGTGGCAGCTCAGGGAACGTCTGCCGTTCACTTCTTTGAGCAAAGCTGTAGCCTCCTTGCTGTATTCTTTATTATGTGAGCATAAGTACAAATGCGTGCAAGCTGTTTAGAGAAAAAACAGACCAATACTTGAATGGTTTGTAAATTATCAGTGTAATGAGCAGCATCCTGTGAAGGTTTTACAGTTCGACTAGTGGAAAAGAAAATGTGATTTTTTTTTTTTTTTGCATCTCTGTGCTGTTTACCTGCTTCCTTTCTGCATGTGTTCAACGTGTTATTGTTATGAATGAACACAACGCGATGTCTCGGGAAATTGCGATGCTTCACTCCACTTACTGGACTTAGGGGGTCAGCCTGGCAGACGCGAACATTTTAGCTTGAAAAGTCCCCCTTCCCAGGCCGTGGTCTGGAAAGAGATTTTCCTTTCTCTTTCTTTCTCTCCTCCTTCCTTCCTTTTCAAAAGGCTAAACGAATTTAGAGGAAGGTAAAATCCAAAGCAAGCTTTCTGAGCATGAGTGCGAAAGCGAAATGTGAGGTTAAGAATCTAGAATCTTGAAATGGCAAGCTTTTAGGATTCGATGTTCCTCCTTGGCTCAGCTTGACCTATGGGAAAGGGGGAGAGGGGTGGCGAGGAGGAGGGAGGGAGGGTGTGGGGGGAGAGGGAGAGAGAGGGAGGG